TCTGCTTCCTTCCAGAGGGACTGTATGGCTCCAAGAAATGCTAGAGAATTTGCACACCAGGATCCATCTGCCACTAGAGAAGGACAAAAGTGGACAGACAAATACCTCAACCTCCTTCCCATCCAAGGGGACAATTCTGAGATGTGTCCTCAATGGTTTTCAGGATTTGATTTTAGTTATCCACAGTGGTAACCTTCCCATTAACAAAATCTTTGGCTGTTTTTTCCCCTTTCCTGTCTCACTTATCAGTCCCAGGACCATATTTCCTGGCATTATCTCACAAATAAATAACCTGCATCCACATCTTTATTTGGAATTAGGTTGGGGGAGGGACAAATCACAATCTGAGGCTGTATTTCAGAAGTTGTACGTGCAATCTCAGGGGCCTCCTTTGAGGGTGACCTCTAAAGTGCTAAGAGTCAGCAATAACTGGACTTTCTGACTGGAAAATTCCTAGGCTCCAGGACCTGCATAGACCAGGAGAAACTGGTAGCTTGCCTGGCCAAGAGTGGACTACAGTAGAGCACTGGAAAAAACGTGGTGAGGCTTAGAAAGTATTGCTGAAGGGCAGGAAGCTCTTAAGTATACCTGAGCAAGGCAGTGGAACTCCCTCGAAGCCTGGGGAGGGCAAGGAGGTGGAATTTTGATGTCCTTATTGGCAACTTCAATCTGACTAACACACGATGCTTAGTTGTTATTATGATCTTAATTGATCTTAAGCATTTTTATAAAAATTGCTTAAGTTCAATGGGACACAGAGAAAGAACAGAAGCACGGATAAGCAAAAAGGAAAGCAAGATTTTCGCAAACCTGCTGCAGGAGGCAGAACAGGAAGACACGGAAAAGATCTGAGAAATCAGGCCAGGCTGAACCCAACTTGAAGAAACCACTTTCGGTGACTGTGGAACATCGCCCTGTCCGAGAGACCAGGCTGTGGACTCTTACTGCTAAAACTAATTCAGGGAACCAAGATAGGAAGGCCGCATTGGAGGCCCACAGGAAGGCTATTTGCTATTTTCAGTCCAGAGGCTAAAACTATCAGTGGAAGGAACTGACACAGATAAGGCCCAGGACGCTGAAAATACACATAATTGACTGAGCTCCCCAATGGACCAGAAAGCTAAGGAAGAGGGGGACAAAAAATGGCCCCAGGGTTGAGTATTCTGCTACCAGGACAGTGAAGATGGGCATGAGAAAGTAAGCTCTGGCCTCTGTTAACCACTGGCTGCCTTCAAGGAATCAGAGCAAGATCTAGGAAAGAAGCCAGGGCTTCCAGCAGACAGGATTACAGCCCCCCTTACAGTGGCTAAGGGGTAGCTGCTCCATGGTTCTGGAGCCTGCCCATCCAGAAAGGACAGCATCCTATCTTGATTGATGTAATCACCAGGATTTGGTCCAGTAGATGCAGTCGTCGTTATATCTTAATGGTTGTTGAGAGAAATACCATTGGAAGGGAAATACTGCTGCTGCCTACATAACTGGAATGTTAGGATCTGGTAGGTACAAAACACCTGGGGGAGGCCAACACACAAGCAACCTGATAAATTTTAGATTAGCTTCCCAAATAGAAACCCGCTGTTTTGTCTTTCTACACACTACAGGGACCCCCGAGTGGGGCCCATGTCTTCCCTTTGCTGCATCAACAACAGTGTAGGTGCTCTCGCTTCCATGTGGCTCCAGCCAATGTGTGGCTTCCAAGAGGTCAGTGAAAGAAAGAGATGGGTGGGAGGGTAACTAATTTCCCTGGGTTCCCCCTAAAAGGCCATTCCGGACACGCCAAAGACCATCACTTCCCTCAAAGAGGCCTAAAAGAGGCTGAAAGAACTCTGCATTATCTTCTTGTCTCTTTGCCTAGTAGCCCTTGAATAAACAACTCTTGCTGCCAGACAGGTTTTTCCTCTAGCCCTGTAGTTTCCTAAGACCATCCCTTCGTTTACATTTGGTCTTTGTATATGGTCCTCTTTGAATAACCCATCGGAATAGGCCATCTCTTTCCTGTTCTGACCCATTTGGTGAACTGGTAGTGAAAGAAGAAGGCTGAGTCAGCCAGCTGGGCACAGTGGGAGGAGCGTAGCTCCATATGACTCAGACCTGGGCTCCTTGTAGACCTAAGGAAGAGCTGACACTGGATATCATGTCTAGTCCAAGGGCTCAAAGCAAAGACCTAGACAGGGCCCAAAGTTGCTGCTCTAGAAATCCTTTTCCACCTGATCAGATAGATACAAGAAAGCCAAGACTAAGGTCCAAACCCGAGGATACCCAAAGCAGGCTGACAATGAGAGAGAAGGTTGGGTCCATCCACAAGGCCAGTGGTCAGCAATGAATCTGCTGCTCTTTGGGAGCCAAGAAAAACCGTTACTGTCTTGCCTCATGCTCCCCAGAAATCCCCTAGCCTCAGGGGCACCTGTGAAGGACCCAGTGTGGAAGTCAAAGGTAGGAGATCAGCTTTCCACGGAGAGACTGAGAAATTCCCTTAGAAGCCACTCTCACTCACGTGGCTTTTAGAGTCAGGAACCTTGGGAGTCTAGTTAGACAGTCACAGAGTGAGTGAGGCTGAGTCCAGCTCGAAGGAAGAGCGGCCCACTTAGAGGCCCACCATTCATTGGCTGTCCAAGAGAAGACTCACAGTTTGAGAAGAACACACCCTAAGTATACTTGTGGTGAGATAGCACAGCCGGGAGGGAAGGCTGGACTGGGGCTGACGGAAAGGCTGTCTATGTAATGAGTCTTTCTCTGTCCCAGCATCCAGCTCCCAAATAATGACAAAGACTTCTTATTAATTATGAAAGCTCGGCCTATAGCTTAGGTTTGTTTATAACTAGTACTTATACCTTAAATTATCCTGTTTTTATTCATCTACATTCTGTCATTTACCTCCTACATCCTGCTTCTTCCATGGCTCCTGGTGTCTCTCCTCCTTTCTTCTTCCCAGAGTCCTCCCTGCCCCCAGAAGTCCCTTCTATACCTCCGGCCTAGCTATTGGCCATTCAGCTCTTTATTACACCAGTCACAGCAATGTGTCTTCACACAGTGTCCTCATGGTATATTCTAAAGCACGGGTTTGCAGAGAGTAGAAGGAGACTCCAAGAAAGAGACATTTTGTAATTGAGGGCTCCACGGGGGAGAAACAAGGACAGTAGCAGGTCTTCCTGGTACCAGCCTAGGCTCACAGACAGACCAGGTTTGGACTCCATGGAGACAGCATCACTGCTCCAAAGAAGACTGAAAGCAGCCGTTTTCTGTCTACATTTGGGAGCTCTCTCTATCTGAGACCCAGAGCCTGAGCAGGGCAACAGTATCTAGGGTGACATATGACCAATGGGCAAAATATCCCAGAAGTCCTACTAAGCAAATAAGACACTACCCAAGGCTCCCTAGGAAGATGTGGGTAGATGAGCTTCTTAGAAGATAACGCCCCTGCCTCCAGTAAGCAGGAAAGAGTTATGAACCAACAAATAACAAGCAGAAACACTAATAAAAACTGTTCCCTTAAACTGGTAGCATTGGCATGATGGGAAAGGAAGGAAGGGATAGTTTTGTTTTATCTTATTCATGGGCAAGGGGGCTGGAGAGATGGCTCAGAGGTTAAGAGCACTGACTGCTCTTCCAGAGGTCCTGAGTTCAAATCCCAGCAACCCACATGGTGGCTCACAGACATCTGTAATGAGATCTGGTGCCCTCTTCTGGCCTGCAGGCATACTTGGAGGCTGAACACTGTGTATAGAATAAATAAATAAATCTTAAAACAAAACAAAACATGGGCAAGGATAGAAAATGATTGGAAAGAAAGGCATGATGGGAAAGATACACTCCTAGATTGTTAATTTCAATCCTTTTTAGTTCTATCAAAAGGCTACACTGACAGAGGCCAAAAGCAACACAGATTGTAAAAGAAAGGCCCCTAATGTGCTACTCAGAAGGAGCCAGGCTTCCTAGCTTCTCATTGAAAGATCATCATCAAAACCTTCGCATGCCGCAAGCTCTTGCTTCCAGGCCGTGAGCTTCTGCGAGCCCAGGAGGGGTGGAAATGAACATCCCCATCACTTGCTGTCTTGTAATTGCCAGGCTCGAAAGGTTGTTTCTCAACACGCTTCACCATCAGTTCCTAACAAGATGGCTGAGCCTCCTACCAGAAGTTGGCCGCCACCTTGTCATTTTCTAATTATATCCCATATTATGTAGGGTTTCTTGTTTCCAGCACACTTCCGTTGGATCTCTGTGAGGGAAGGATGTCTTCCCGGAGTCTAAAAATAGTAGGGCAGTAACAGCTGTGCCTAGCGCTTGGTATGTTCTAGCAAACTGGGAAGCTCTGTCTTGTAGTCAAGTCCTCACAGTGACCCTAAGGACCACACTCGGGCCCATTTTCCAGCAAAGACAGCTGAGGTCAGAGAGTTTAAGTTGCAGCTTGTAGGTGGAGAGTTAGGATATAAAGCTTGGGGTCCTAGAGTCCAAGCCTTGCACCGTGGAGTTCAGTGCAGAGGTGCCTGTTTGCTATCGTAAGATGTTTTACTCTTTTGGCTTTTGGGGGGAGGGGAGGCACTACCCAGCTCCCAAATAAATCACACCTGGAGGCTTATTCTTTGTTAGGAATGCCCAGCTTTAGTTTGGTTTGTTTCTTGCCAGCTTTTCTTAAATTAACCCATCTACCTTTTGCCTCTGGGCTTTTATCTTTCTTACATCTGTATGTCTTTACTTCTTTCTCCATGGCTTACTGTGTAGCTGGGTGGCTGGTTCATGATGCCCTTCTCTCCTTGTTCTCTTGCTCCTCTTTTTCCTCAGTTTTCTTTCTGTTTGTACTCTCTACCTGCCAGCCCCGCCTATCCTTGATCTTGCCTTACAATGGGGGCAGTCGGCTCTTTATTAGACATCAGGTGTTTTTTATTTTTCCTTTGTTTCATTTACTTTTACTATTTCCTTCATGTCAGAAGAGAAACTGGATGGCTAGTGATGGAAGTCAGAGAGGAGCCATAAAGACAGAAATCCCATTGGCTTCTTCTTCCCTAGGTGGAAGAGACCTTGAGTTCTTCTGGCGTTTTACTTGGGTTAGCAGTTTCTGAACTGAGTGGACTTTCTAGGTAGGCGGTCCCCGCACAGGGCTTTCCTGTGATTGGGTCGATAACTCCGCCAACTTTGAAAATGATCTCAGCCAGTTCATGTTTCACATGCTTTGACCTCGTGACCGGCAGAGCTCCGAGGAGCACGGTGTCCCCGAGGGAGCACTGCTGATGGGCATCGTGAGCAAAGTAGGTTTTCCACTTGTTGAAGTACTTTAGCAAGTAGGGATCCAAAACAAGTCTGGTCGCTCTTACTCTAGCAGTTTTTACCATGGCTGTACCATTCACCTTCCCCAAGACCCATATGGCATAGACGGATTATTGACATTATGGGTCTCTGAGCACCTTCTGGATTCTACCACTCGGCTTCTGGCAGTCGAAGCCTGGAGTGCAGGGTGATGCTGTCACATGGGACATCAGGTGTTTTAGACGGGCAAAGAATCACCGCGTCACAGAGTTAAACAAATGCAGCGTAAACAAAAGTCACACATCTGAAAATAATATTCCCCAACAGTTTGCCTCCACATAGATTAGAGAACTAAGCTCCAAAGCCTTACAACGGAGGGAAAAGACAGGTGTCGTGCATATGTAACCCATGGAAACCTTCGGCAATAAAATTATTGTGAAGTTATATTTGATATGAATGAACAAATCAGTTTGTCTGTGGTAAGATCTGGCGTGGGATCTTTTCAGAAGAGCCTTCATCATTTCAAACCAGCTTTCACCATAACCAAACTGCATTTGAAACCGACACTCTCCAATATTTTACTTCTAAAGATTTCCACGAAACATATTTTCCTCTATGATCATGACACTTCTGGGCATAATAGTCCATGAGTTGAGTAGTGGTGTGGAGGTCAAGCAGCAACAGCATACCAGGAAACAAAGAGCCAGCAGGGCAAACGCCAGCTACGGCTTGTTATTCCCAATGCAAATACAGTGGCAGGTCATTCCATTGGGTTTTGTTTTGAACAAAATGTATTTATTGGCTAGTTTCTCACACAGTATGGACTGTGAGTGGGTAGCACCACTCGAGGAGGTCACATAAACATGACACTATTTAAGGATATGGTGTGGAAGGAAGTGTGCTCAGACGTGCAGGGGACAACTGCTAAACAAGCTCTCCTTTGTCCTATTGGCTTTTGACTTACCAAAAGAAAAAAAAGATATTAAAATGAATAAGAAAAAAAATAATAGAATTTTTCTATAAATTAAAATGAAATAAAACCCCAATTATTATTATGAGTAAACACTTTCTAGCAATAATATTGATTTTTCCGAATTAAATGCAAACTTAGAGACACCAGTTGTGAGGGAAGAGGAAAAAGACACTTGCTGTGGAGTATCCTGTTTGGTATTTCAGAAATCCAACCTAACTTCTCCCTGCCCCTCTGACGGGGAGAATTCTAACCTGCTCCCGGCCCCACCCCCTCCTCTAACTTCCCTCTGCCTGTACCGAGGGGGTCAAAATGAACTGGGGACGGGTTGAGGTCTGCATCATTCCATCCCATTCACAAGAAGAAACGTACAAGAAATCATTGCTAAAGAGCAAGAGATCCCACGGAGAGCGTTTAAACAAGGACTCTTGATCAGAACAAGATCTCAACACAGAACAAGAACAGATGGTATCTGGTGACCTCGGCAAAGCCCCAGAAGCGTGCCCACTTGCTTACCTGGGAGCAATGAGGGAGTCTAGCTTCGTGCTTCAGGAAGCTAATAAGGAGACTCTGGTAGGCTCCGAAAGAAATTCCTATACCGAGACTTAGCCCAACAGAGGCGCTTCGCGGCACCAGATCTCACCGCAGTACCTAAAACCAGTGTTGTGGTTCTGGGGGGTCCCTGAATTGATCACAGCGTTCAGATGCAGCAATTACTTGCCGAACAGATCGGCCTGGCCTTAACGGCAGAACCTGACCAACAGAATGAGGAGCAAACACCACGGATCTATAACTGATACATTGGACACTGGTGACTTTAGAAGTTCCGGGTCTGAGGAGGGCTCCTAATAAGAATTATACAACTGAGAATTTTGATATTTCTATGGTTTGCAAGATGAGAACAAGGGCACCTTCAAAAACTTTTAGGCAAAAGGTCTGTAAGGACAATGATGATTAATTTTCAAAGCCAGCACATGTTATATCTCTCTCACACACACACACACACAAAGAATAGTGCTTTACATAACACAATCTTGAGGTTTGGTGTATACGTTACACCAAGAATATGCTGAACATATATTAAGGCCGTACCAATACTATATGATGAATAGCAACAAGAGGGCTTAGGGAGATGGCTCAATCAGTAAAGCACCTGCTAAGAACACGAGAGCCCCAATTTAGATCTCCAGAACCCATGTAAAAGCTCGATACAGTGACGTGTCTGCAGCCATGGTACTGCAGCCTGGAGAAAGACAGGCCCTGGATGTCAGGACTTGTCTAACCCGTTAGTACGTTCCTGATTCAATGTGAGACTGTGGAGATGCAGGAGGGCCCCTGATGCTGACCTCTGACCTGCACACATGCACCTATTGAAGCAAGCTTGGGTGATTCCTAAATATCTCTGTGTTAGAATTCTTTACCTAGGTAGGTTTAGCATGTACCCCCCAATTAAAAACCACTGGCTAAGAAGGGGTTAATCTCCAAGGAGACTGAGATTAAGTTTTAAACACAATGAGCGATAATCTGCCTATAGGGTTGTTGAGTACCAACATCAAAGAATTAGCACCATTCAGATAAACATGGAACCAGAACCAATTCATATGATCTCAGTGTTCCCTTGAGGCTTAATCATGTGAGGGCACTGAAAACTTTCCAAGGAATTCTCACGAAGTACAACACTTCTGGAGTAGTATATTGATAACATTTTACTTGTATGGATTTAACCAATTAAATCTACTACGTTTTAGTAGAATTTACCTACAAAATTGTAATGCATTTAAAATGACAGACAATCCCTTTTTTGAAGAAGATGAATATAAAATTAAAATATCCGAGCACTATTCATAGTCCTTAAATATGAAAATGAAGCCGAACTCATCTTTGCTTTGAAATAAATACCAAATTAGCAGTCCTCCCGAGGGCCACGTTAGAGCTCCGCAGAGCTGCCACTAGAGGGCACTATAAACAGACTACAGAGCGAATCCCCTAGACCTTGACTTCCTGGTACAGTTCTCACCTACAGCTTTTGCCTGAGTTTTAAACAGTTAATGACAGAAGAAGATACTTATCTTTGAGTCCTGGTTGAGTTCTTCCGCCATATCTAGTTCCCATAACATCTTCATCATTATGATTTAGTGGATTCCCACCAGGGTTGAAAATGTGCAAAGTAACATTAGGAGACTCGGCCTGAGGGACACCAAACCAGACACTTCGCCTCAGGTTTCGTGGACTCCGAAGCTTTCCAAATACTTAATGATGCATCACCAAATTATAGAATGACACCATCTATGTGCTTATCCTGAGATTTAACAGGGAGATACATATATTTATTTTAGCTTTTATAAGAAACACATTATTGGAGGCTGAGGAAATAGCTCAGTGGGTGAGTGTTTGTTGTGTAAGCATGAGAACTTGAGTTTGAATCCCAACACCCACATTAAAAAACAAACAAACAAACAAACAAACCTGGCACAAGGCAGTGGTGGTGCACATCTTTAATCCCAGCAAAAGGCAAAGGCAGGCAAATCTCAGTGAGTTCGAGGCCAGCCTGGTCTACAAAGCAAGTTCCAGGACAGCCAGGGCTACACAGAGAAACTCTGTCTCAAAAAAACAAACAAACAAACAAACAAACAAACAAAAAGAACAAAAATGGCATGGATATGCAAGTAAACCCAACATTGGGTGTGAGGGGCAGAAAGACAGATCTCTGTTGTTTTCTGGCCAGCAGCCCAGCTGAAACATTACACTTCAAGTTCAGTGTGAGGTCCTGTCTTAAAGGAACTGGGTGACGAGTGATAAGAGATGATAGCCAGTGTTCTCTGGTCTCTCACGCGCGCGCGCGCACACACACACACACAATCAATCAATCATATTGTAGAGTATATGAAAACCTTTTGAAATTATCTCGTAGGTCCACCCATTTCCCTTCTTCCCTATTTTTAACAAGTTCAGAAGGAACCACTACTGAACGTTGATAGGTGTCCTTCTCACCCTTACAGAGAAGGCTCTCCGTTCATATTAAGGTCATCTCTCTATGTCTGTGGAATTAGCGTCATGGTGTCAACTAATAAGAGATGGACCATTAGTTAAGGAAAAAGCACAGCTATACTAAGGAGGCACAGGCTTTTTTTTTTTTTTGTTACTCTCTAAACAATTTGTCATAAAAACTATTTACACAATATTGAAAATATATGAGGTATTTTAAGTAGCCTAGAGATAGGCTAAAATATGTGGGAGGATGTGTGCGGGTTATACACAAATCATATATGTAGGTTATATGCATATAGAGATTTGAGCATCCACAAGGGGTAACTACAAGGGGTCTTAGAATCAAGTCCCATGGATACCCAGATAAATGTGCAGTCTATTGTTATGGTCCCAGAGGCTCTTGCTTTCCTTCTCTTTGGATTGTTTGCTTTATCCCCCCCCCCACTGGATTGAAAGTTGTATTGTCTTCCTAGTCTTCCAGTGCTTTATTTTCAGATCAGCATATATCCCTAAGGATCTTTTAATATGAGCTCCCCGTCCCCATTTTTCACGCATTTCAAAGCAATCTATTGCATTGCTGTCACCCCCTCTCCTTTTAACATTATTATCACCCAACACTCATAAATTTTTCATTCCAAGTTTTCTAGTATTGGTAGTAAGAGGAGCATTTCTCTTCCATAGCATCCTTCTTTATGTTGCTGGAAATCCATGAACAACCTCCTGGCCTTTCTTTCAATCCATCTGAATATCATTACCCCTTTCATTTTTGCAAGGCATGTTTAGTGTTTTGTATTTTCATTATGTCTTTCTACCTCCTGTGAACACTGTGCTCCAATCTACCTTCACTGGAATAGAAACAAATAATACACCTGCGATGGTTTGAATAAGAATGGCCCGTATGGACTCATGAATTTGAATGCTTGGTCCCGATTTGTTGGAACTGTTTTGGGAAGGATTAGGAGGTATGGCTTTGCTGGAGGGGTGTGTCACTGGAGTGGAGTGGGCTGAGGTCTCAAAAGCCCATGCCATGCTCGGGTTCTCTCTCTCTCTCTCTCTCTCTCTCTCTCTCTCTCTCTCTCTCTCTCTCTCTCCCTTTCTGCCTCCAACTTTCAGGAATCAATCAAGTTCCAGCTACTGCTTAGTGCCATGCCTGCCTGCGTGCCTGCCACCAGCTC